TAGAGTACTAAGGAATCTTACAAAATCTTGATACTTACGCAGGCCGATCTAAGACTGTACGTGTTACCCTTAGTGGACATTCCTCCTAAGGAATCTTACAAAGCCCTGCTACTTACACAGGCCGATCTAAGGTTGTATGTGTTACCCTTAGTGGACATTCCTCCTAAGGAATCTTACAAAGCCCTGCTACATATGCAGGCCGATCTAAGACTGTACGTGTTACCCTTAGTGGCTATTCCTCCTAAGGAATCTTACAAATCCCTGCAACTTACGCAGGCCGATCTAAGGCTGTACCTGTTACCTTTAGTGGACATTCCTCCTAAGGAATCTTACAAAACACTGCTACATACGCAGACCGATCTAAGGTCGTAAATGTTATGACCCTTAGCGAAAATTCCTATTTGAAAATTCTACGAAGCCCAGCAGCATGTGCAGGCGATCTAGGTTCGCATGACTTACTAATTTTGTCACATACGCTGACTAGAAGACATTCCATCATTAAATATTTACGAAAGGATGAAATAAGCAATAAAATTTAGACTTCACAAAAAAAAGAAAACATGCATTTTCATAAGCATTCAAAATAGAGTACGGCTCATCTTCAAGTACAAACAAGATATCCATAAAGTTTAACAAATTCATCACAAATCCAAAAAATGTCCTACGAAGAGCTAGGAGGAGGGAGGTCTTTACGAGAAGCGACATCATCTTCATCAGCAGGAGAAATCCGAACCCCTGTCGCTTCTGACAAACGCTGAAGCTCTTCCTTCTGCTCTTCCACAGTCTCCTCAAGGAAACCCACATCGAACCCTGGCCTCTCTCTGTGAATGTGTTTTACTTCTTCCTCCAGAGCCACGACGTAAGCATCCTGAGCAAGAGCGTCAAACTCGAAGGACGACCTCTAAGTCTCCACTGTCCTCGCAGCCCTAGATTCAGCCTCCTCAGCTCTACGCATCGCCTCTCTTGCTCTCTCATTTGCCTCCCGTACCTTCTCCACAGCCTCCTCAGTTCGAACTCTTTCTTCCTCAATCCTCTTCTTCTCAGCTTCAGCCCTATGACCGACCTCCTCCCTCAGAGCTCTAATCTATCCCATCCACTTCTCCTCTATCTCCAACCTCAAGTTCAGCTCAAACCCCATTGTGTTAAGCTTCTCCTCGTATTCTTTTTCTTTTATTGCAAACTGAGCTCTCTCAACCTCCATGCTATTATACAAACTCAAGGCCTGATCCTTAGCCTCCATCGGTTTGTCGATCTCAGATTTCACTTACATTAAAATCCATAAGTTAAGCACCTCGTAAATATGTAAATCATTAAATAAAATGAAGTAAGGAAAATACCTTATCACCTATGGCCATCACGTACAAGATAGAGCGGTGGCCCCAGAATTGAGCAATCACTAGGGCCACTCCTATGGGCATCCCATTAAGGAAGCCCTACTTCCTTTCACCCCAACTCCTGGTAAGCAGGCTTACAGAATCACGCAGAGGTGGAGGAAGTGCAGCAATAACCTTCGATGGAGATGAAGCTCACAAGTAACCCCGGAAGATCTTTGGATGGTGGCCTAGCAAACTATCCAGCGGTGGCCTCTGTAAGCCCGGGAACCTCTCCTGTACCCTTGCCGAGCTAGTCGAAGTGGAAGCAGGTGCTGCAGGAGGTGGCGAGGTATGAGCTAGAGACGGCAAAGTGATGGCCACCAAAGGAGAAGAGCTCAACGCGAGATCGGCTTCAGGGACCCTTGGTGTGGCTGGCGTACCAGTACGGTTCCTCTTCAAGGGGACCTAGTCTTCCACTTCCTTAGAACAGCTTTTATCCCGTTCTGGGATGTCCCTCTTCTTGGCCTTCGCTGGGCCGTAGCTTTCACCGCCTTGTATCTCAACATTTTTGAATTGTGAGCTGTAAACAAAAAAGTATGTCAGTACTCAACTCTAACAAATATCACCTCAATAAACCAATCAAAATCGACCTGAACAGGTCAGAACTGATGCAGATGCTGCGACGGTGGAAGGCTCCGCTACCCTGGTTTGAATCAAGCCGGCCTAGAAAAGGTTGGAATTCGAGAGCAAAAATTTGCAAGATCTCTGTTTCTTCGACAATGCACGAATTGCTTCCCCTCGCTTCTGAGTATCTTTCTTCAGTGTAGGCTTCTTGTAAGCTGCACAGTAATATGATATCAATTAGAGTAGCTCAGAATACAATCTAGGTCAAAACTCCAAGAGGCAGTTACTTACATAACGAGTGATAAAGCGCTGCGGCCACATTGTCCCTATTCACCTCGGCAGAATGAAACTGCCACTCTTCCGACACATAGAACCACTCTTCCTTCCATTTCTTGATCGAGGAGGGGGTGTCTAAAACCAGAGAACCTCCTGTCCTTGGCCTAACACTTGTGTACCACCAACCCGAGTTCTTCCCATCCTCCTTAAAAGTAAATAAAGAGTTGAACTGTGATAAGTGTAGTTTCTACACTTATTTGGGATCTTAAATGATGATATTTTGTTATTCTTTGAACGGATTAGAACCTGATTTGTTATTTATTGCTTTTATTTGGAAAAGTTCATGTTTCAAAGAAGAATTGGAAAAAATAACGGAAAATGGCTAAATGAAGCAAATCCAAAATATGGGGAGCAAAGTGTAAATATTTAATGGTTGATTTGGATCACAAAAGATACTTTGAAGATTGATAAGAGTCAATTGAATGCAAATTGGAGTTAAAAAGGAAAGGGATATGATTAGAATATTACAATAAATCGACTACCAATTATATAGGATATTTTCAAGATTTTTGGTCAACTTGAGACCCATTTTTCAGATGGAGAACGTTTGAATTGGAAAAATTGTATTTCTAGAAGAATTGTAGATCTTTTGATTAGCTTTCCAATACACTTTGAATCACTTATACTGAAAGTTGTGCAGAGACAAAATTATGTGCGTGCAAAGGCAACTTTCCTTATTTGATTCAAACTCTTTTGAAAGACAATTTGGACATGAATTTTGATCGAATTTCATTAGATAAATACAAGATATGGGCAGCAATGAAAGGGTCTCTCTCTTGCCTCTTCATACACAACAGTTTCATCAAATCTATCAAGAACAAGGGCCAATTGCTATATTTTGAGAGAGAAGATCAAGTCATAGCAAGGCATTGAAATTCAATTACATCAAGTTTTGAAGAATTCAACTTTGGACGTGAAGATCAACATCTTTTGTATTCTTTCATGATCCGAGTGATATTTTTCTATTATTTTTCTTGTAATTTATATATTAATATGCTAGGCTAGTTTTTCATTGTATTGGATGAGATGAACCCTATTATTTATTTATTTTAATTCAAGACAAGTATTTAATTTAATTCGTGTGTTACTTGATTAATTTTGCATTCCCATTGCACTATTAAATTGTTGGGCCATCAATTGAATAGTTAGTTGCTTGTTGTAGTGTAGGAATATTCACAACGAGTCTAGAACGCGGCAAAAGTAACATGTATAGTTAGGATTAGGAATAATATCTATCATACATGCAATCATATTGATAACTTAAACAAAATGCATGATTTTCATATGAATTCGGACTGAGAATAGGATCGGGTCGTGTTAATCATGGGTTGGTGTATCTTAGAAAATAACATTTAACATATTAGTATTATCGATTGTCAAGAACTTGTAAAAGAAATTAGTTTACGAATCAAGAATTGAAATAAATAGCAATAGGCGAAGTCAAAATCCAATACAATCCTCCAGAATTTGATAAAACCTCAAATTTTATTGCTTTCTTAGATTAGTTTAGTTTAAATCAAATCAAAATATTTATTTTGTTTTCATAACTAGAATTTCATATGAAACTAGTAAACTTGAATTAAATTTATTCTCTGTGGGACGATAACTTTTAACTCACTTATTATTACTTGTCAACGATCTTTTATGCTTGCGGGTATCACACGAACAAGTTTTTGGCGCCGTTGCCGGGGAATAAAGTTTTAGTTTGAGTTTATTAGTTTACATTGGATTTGAATTTATTATTATTATTTTTTTATTTATTATTTTTGTTATTTTAGGCTTTAATCGTGATATCTAATTTCTTCTTATTTTACTCTTAAGGCTTTTACTAGATCTCGAAATCGAAAGGACCTTTAAACAACGCTAAGAGAACTAAGAAGAACGAGGGTAATGGCTGAGAATCAAGATTAGATTCAAAATGCACTGCAGAATGTAGCACTTCAGGTTCAACAACCACCTCCAATTCAGCGCCTATTGGTTAGAGATTATGTGAATCCAATACCTGCACTGATTCAACCTCCTATTATCTATCCACCGTTCGGATAAATAAACTTTCACATCCGACCAGATGTCATAAATCTGGTCCAAAATCATCAAGACATCAGGTTCAGCGGGAAAGCTACGACAAATCCACACGAACATATTCAAGCTTTTACCATGCTTTGTGGTGTGATTAGCCATTAGAGGATGTCACAAGATGCATTCCGAATGCGTTTATTCCCTCACACTTTGAAGGAAGGTGTGAAAATATGGATGATGTCACAACCCCCTGGGAGCATTGTATCGTGGAATGACATGGTACAAAAATTTACCATGAAATTCTTCCTACCATCTCGAGTCCACCAAATCAGAAACGAAGTATATCTTTTCAGACCAAAGGATCATGAGACATATTCGGAAGCATGGGATAGGTTCAAAAGTGCGTTTAGGAAATGTCCAAATCTTGATGTTCCTAAACTTGCACAAATATATCTATTCTATAATGGACTGTGCGCTAAATTTCGCAATATAGTTGATGCTTCTGTGGGTGGATCAATTTTCATTATCGAGATGGATGATGCACATAATTTATTTGAGAGGATTGCTGAGAATCAGGCCAACTGGCTAACAGATAGGGAAGCTCCGAGAAAAACAGCTGGATTACATAATGTGGGCGCAGTGATAGCATTGGCAGCGCAGATGGAAGCAATAACAAAGAAGCTTGATACTTTAACTTAATCTGTGCACATGGTACAACATCCAGCTTCGATATGTGCAGGTTGTGGGACAGATCACATCACTTCAAGCTTCCCTTTGGCTTCTACTCACATGGGTCAGTCAGCAGAGGTCAGTTATGCGCAGAACTATCAGAGGCAAAATGGATCTTACCCATACAACTACCATCCGGGTTTGAACAAGCATTCCAACTATTCGTGGGTGGATAATCCAGATCAAGTAAATCAGATGAAGGGAATTCCACCAGTAATTCAGTAACAACAAGGTAAGAGGCAATCCTTGGAAGATCTACTGGTCACGTACATCACCAAGACTGAAATAGTAATGCAGAATCAATAGGCTTCCATACATAACCTATAAAATCAGGTGGGATAGATAGTAGCTGCATTAGCCAACAGACCACAGGGTACCTTGCCGAATGATACAGAGAAGAACCCATGGGAGCAGGTATTAGTAGCTGAGGCGGTAAATTATGCAACTATTGAGCTCCCATCTACCACATCCACTACTCTTGTCAAAGCTTATGTGCCACCCATTCCATTTCCTCAAAGACTTCAATGCCAGCCAACAGTAGAGCAGGTTCAGGCCATCACTACTAGGAGTGGTGTTCAATTGCCAAAAATCACTGTAAAGAGGAAGGAGACAGAGAGAACTCAAATGCCTACTAAAGATAAGAAACCAATGGAGCAGTCTGAAGAAACAATAGAAAAGGACCAACAGACAGTTTCAGACAATCCACAGCTTAAGGCAAATATTCCTAAAACTTCACTGACACCTCTAATCCCTTTTCCTCAAACGTTACAGACGACCAAATTGGAGAAGCAAGCTATGAAATTCCTGAAAATCCTCAAAAAGTTGCATGTCAACATCCCATTCATTGACGCTATCCTTCAAATTCCAAACTATTCTAAATTTTTGAAGGAGATGCTGACTAAAAAGAGGAAGATGCCCGAGCATAAAATAATAACACTATCTGAAGAGTGCAGCGCGATCATCCAGCACATGATCCCTCCCAAACTTAAAGATCTAGGGGGTTTCACTTTACCTTGCTCCATAGGAAACTTACAAGGTATTAATTGTTTAATTGATTCAGGAGCAAGTATTAACTTAAATCCTTTGCCACTTTACAGGAAATTGGGATTGGGAGATCCCAAGGTGGCTTCTATCATCCTTTAGCTGGCGGACCGAACATTGAAACATCCCTATGAATAGTCAAGGAATGCTCATCAAGTCGGGAGAATTTATTTTTCCAGCCGACTTTATCATTCTAGACATAGAAGAAGCATCCCAAATTCCAATAATACTAGGAAGGCCATTCCTGTTAACAAGTCGGGCATTACTTGATGTTCATACAAACGAGATACTCCTAAGGGTGGAGGATAAGTAACAAAGCTTCACCATGGAGAATCCAATCAAGCTACCATCATATTTTGAAGATTGCCAACGAGTTGATCATTGGGAGAGTTACAAAGGTCGTCCAAATGTAGGTGGAATTATTGGTAGGGATAACAATGGAAACTTGATCATGTGGCGGATGAAAGATGAAAGAAAGAAGTGCAACCAGCGCTTAAAATGCAGGGATAAAAATTCTCTTTTCAAGCCATCATGAAGAGTCTAAAAGCAACAAAATCTAGCTAAAGACTATAAATTAAGCGCTTATTGGGAGTCAACCCAATATTTCTATCCATTTTATTTTATTTTATTTTACTATAATTAGAATAACTTAAGATAATTTAGATTAGTTTTTATTTTGGGGACTCATCATCCATAACACGTTTTCTCTTAGGTCTCTGAGATTTAGTGGTTTATTAGATGTTTGAGCTAAGTAACACATGTTCTGGGTTATTTGATCGTTAATTTTTTATTTAACTGCCATATGCAGGAACATGATATCGCAAAACACTCAAACCAACATAGACCAAGGGGAAAACATGATGAAGGAGAATGTCTAACAATTGCCCAAAGTGCGTTCTACATTCAACAGGAAAATTTGGGGAGTACCTTATTCCTTTCCTTCCCCATCCCCTTACATTTTCAATTATGTTTTAAGACATTAAAAACAATGTCAAGTCTAAGTTTGGGGATGGGAAAAACTTTTTTTAGTTTCTGATTTTTGTATGTTTTTGTGTGTTTCTTTAAAAAAAAATAAATAATAAATTCGTTAAAATTTCTATTTTTGTGTGTTAAAAAAATATCTATTTATTTGTTTTTGTTTGTTTGTGTGATTGTGTGGGTTAGACAGTTTGGCTGACTATAATAATTAAATTTGAGTTTTGGTATTGATTCATGAACTGTGGATAAAATGCATGTTAAACTAATTGAAGCTAAACAATGTAAGACTTGATATTATACATGCACTAGAATTGAGTTTGACATTGTGATGAAATGAGTTGATTCATATGCTTGATAGGTCGCTTTAATCGGACATAGACGCTTTACCCATACCATACAATTATTTATCCTTAGACCAAATTTAACACAGTTGGGGGTGATTTTGTTGTTGCAAAAAGATACGAATGTGGACAAGGATTCTATGTGTGAAAACTTATGTGTGGATTGTCTTAAACTAAAATAATAAAATTGGGTGAAAGTTTTGAGTTGGAGGTCGATTTAATTGAATAAGTGTGTGATAAGGGGCATTGCACTAATCAAGACTTATATTTTGAAATTTAAAACTTTTCTCTAAAGCCTTTAAGACTCGAGTAATTAAGTCTGTAAGGGTATCTTAAAACATGATGCCCTAAAGTCGTCTGACTTGGGAGTCATCGGCCTAAAGTTTGTTACAGGGGTCATTTAGAAAGCAATCAGAGATGAAGTTGCATTTGAAAAAAAAAATAAAATTGTTCTCTTTGAAGCCTTTTTGACTCGGGTTATTAAGTCTGAAAGGATATCTTAAAATTTGGTGCCCTAAAGTCATCTGATTTGGGAGTCATCGGCCTAAAGCCTGCTATAGGGGTCATATAGAAAGTTTAATGGAGAGAAAAAAACTCTTAAAAATCAGAAAAAGCAAGTGCATGAAAAAAAGCAGAAGCACTAAATACATTGTTAAGTCCTAACACTTATTCGAGAAAATTTAACTTTCGATTAAAGATAATTAGCCTAATTGAGTCTTGGCGGTCGAAGCAATCAAATTAATTGAGAATCCTTGTTCATTGATTTATTGACTTGCAACTAGTGATGTTCACCTGAACTAGAGAGGGTAAGGATAGTAATGAAAAATTCAACCTTAGATCACACGCTATGAAAATAGTGAAAAAGAATAAATTTAGGAGTGTGTGAATCTTACGAGAGATGAAAGGATATATTTGACCATAGAGGGTCGGGAATTGAAATTACTTGTGAAATCATTAATGTCTACTTAATTTTTCACACACACGTCGATTTTGCATTTGAAGAGTGGATATTGGTTTGGTATTGTGACTTTGAAGCAGTTTATAGATTTAACACAGTGATCTCAAATTCTGTGGTAAAAAGTTAGATTGTCCAACCAAATGCTCAACCGTAAGCTCAGGGTTACTTAATCTATCCCACAGAATAAGCGTGACGATCAGAGTCTGCTACCCATTTGGGTATAACTGGGTCGGAGCTATGCTTCAAGAAGACAAGAACTTATGGATAACCCTAGGAATAGGTAATCTCAGCCCGGCTTGAAGGATGACAGAATTCTATGTGACACATCCCATAGGGGGAACGTCAGGACGGTCAGATGGTTAAGGGATTATCATAATTAACGAACTCGGAATATCATATTTTGCCCTCCAACTAGCTAACATATCACATGTAACTACTGACCTGTAAGAACCAGCCCCCACTCCAACTGATCGTTCCCTTCACTACCCATAGGGGAAGCCACCTCCTCGTCTACCCTATTTCGCCCTATCTCCCCAGGACGGGCCGAAGTAACGGGGTTAGCAACAGAAATAGGAACAGGAGTAAAAATCTCTCTACACCCTGAGGACGAACTAGAAGTAGAAGGGACGGATTCTTCCTGTTGATTTCCTCAGGATTGAACCCTCCACTCGTCCGAACTCATGGAAAAGAACAATACAAACGTACTAAGTGAAGAAGCGAAGGAATACCTAGGAACTCGAAGAACGATCTTACTCAAACGACAGACAGGGAATGCTCGGAATTCCTTGGTGCTTTGAGAGAAAACAGTGTAAAGTAAAAAGACAAAATGACAAGCCATTGAATATAAAGGGTTTTAATCTGGGCCGTTAGTTCAAAATAAAGGAGGAAAGATCTACGATTGAAATGTCTTCTAGGCAAAACGACACAACATCAGGAAACTTATCAAAGAAGCTATCTAAAAATGTCGTGCAGCTCATCCTTACCCAGACATGACACTTGGCATAATAATAATTAATTTTCTTGGAAAAAGAACCAGTGAAGTCAGAAGGTTAGCCCCCCTTACGGAAGAACTGACCCGGGGGGTAACTGTTGACATCCGAATTCCGATCTAATAAAAACAGTTCGCTAACCCCATCTCAGTTAAATGTGAGTTCGGTCCTTACTCTCAGGTCGGACAATCCCACCGTTATCTTAGAAAAACATCATGACTACCCCCTGTCACATCACCCTATCAATCAAATACAATTGCCACAGGTGACATCATCACCACTCGAAACAACCAATCCTAAGTCCTCAACCTCCAGCCCCTTGCAGGTCATCATTACCTGGGGAAATGACCACCAGCCTCATCGAACAATCATAAGAGAATTCGGCGACCCGAGTTTCGAGCTCAGTACTGTTGCTGATTTGACTGATTTGATGTAATGTCGGCTGAAACTATGTATAAATAGTTGAATATGACTCTTGTAAAGGGCAAGTGATTTCATACAACAACTCAAGGCATAATTACATTCTCTAAACATATTTTGTGGTCTTTTTTCAACAATAAATCGCCCTTTTTTTCTTAAAGTTGGCTTAAGATTGACCTTGCTAATTTTGACGTCAACAAGGTTCATTTTAGATTTTAATACTTCAACATTGTCATTTTCCTTTAAAAGGGCGACCACATTTTCCACTGCAAGGGTGATTTCCCCTTAGAATTATACTATCTTCGGTGCAACCATATAAAGGGGAAGTCATAAGAGTAAGTTCATGATCTATTAGTATTTTGTCATAAATAGTTCCAAACAAGATATTGATGGAGCACCCATTATCTACAAACATACGCTTTAGACCATTTTGTACCATGATAGCCCTTACCACAATGCATCACATGAGTTAATGTTGACGTGTCGCATCTTCATGTGTAAAAGTAATGGGTGGTGTATTCTTAGTCCCACTAGGGTGCTGTTGACTATGTATCTCGTTATAAGGAGATCATTGGCTTCTCTTGCATAGTTCCACTGTGCATTTCAAGATTCTTTTCCAACATGCGAACCTCCATTTCTCAATTGGCTCCATGCATTTGGAGGGAACTGGGTAAGGGCTAGGTTATTCTATCTAAATATATATAAAAAATGGATGTAAAGACAACCTCGTCCTAGCATTTCACCTCACTTATAGCCATACACTCCTTGGAGAAATAGGTTTGCTCATAAGGGGTCGGGACAAACATCTCAACCGTATTACTCCTTAAAGGTTTCTAGCTCCCTCTCTACTATGCAAGTCAGCCACAAGGAAGTCCCCATCTCATACTATAATTTATGGGGACTCTCCATCTCCTTCACAATCCTCTCGGTAGGAATTATTAGAGGCAAAATAGCCTCGACGTATATCATCGCCATGTAAGCCTTCCTACAAGAACCCCTTTTGGTGTTTGGTTTCAAGAAAGAGGCTATCTAATGAATATTTAGGTCAAAAAATTGAAGAAAAATGGTCTATCACTTTCATAAATATCAAATACAAAAACTAGAAGAAGGTAAAAATTTTATTGCTCGCCAAAAAAAGTGCAGATGTTGCTAAAGAAATGGAAATGATTTTTTGATTGCTTGAAGGTTTTTTCTTAAAGTAGAAGGCATAACAAATGGCTATTGCATCCTTTTATAGGCAATCAAGAGGAACCTCAGTCATCATATGGGCATTACTCAATCTAAGATGTATATCTGTGCCCTTGATCGTAACCGCTAAAACCAGATGGTTTCCATATAAATTTGAAGGACAATCTGGATCATATCATGCTTAGCACGACCTTGTGGATCCCGTCGCCTCTACCAGTTGTAACAGAT